CCCCTGCCAGCCTGGTCACCCCCAACTGCCCCCCCTGCCAGCCTGGTCTCCCCACACAGCCTGCTGTTCAGTCATTGGTCGTCCCTCACTAATCCCCCTGCCGGCCTTGTTGCCCCACGCAGCCTGCTGTTCAGTCGTCTGTCTGGTTGTTTTGGTCGTGATGGCCCCTTGCTTTTTATATATTAGGACTAGAGGCTCAATGCACGAAATTCCTGCAAGGGGCTTGGCCCTCACAGTGCCATCTGCCACCACCCTCTGCGGGGCGATCAATTGCGGAGCACGCCCTCCCCCATTGATTGCCCTGCAGAGGGTGGGACAGCCCTGGCCTCATGGCCCCTTAGCCCCGCTCCTCGCCCACTGGTTGTTCTAGAAGGTCGTTCCAGAAGGTCGTTCTGCCATCTGGTCTAATTAGCATATTAGTTCTTTATTATATAGGATATGTATATGTGTCTTATAGTTAATAAGTGGACTTTGGTCTGTGAAATCTATAAAAATTTAGACGAAGTTGAATGTATCCACAGTTTTACTGTCTATAAGAATGACTTTTAAAAATTAAATAAATGATGAAATCCAGGTTATAAGGAACCATATATACTACTTAAGGGAACAAAATTTATCAACATTCTCAGTAGTTAGAAGCACATTCCAAAGGGATCTGTTATTAAGATGATTGTAATTATCGAGGTACCTTAAAGATCTGTAAAAAATGTACCATGGTTGATATACTTTGAGGTACTATGACTACTAAAATGTTTAATTGCTCTGTTTAAAACATTGTGCTCATATTTTTTCATTAATTCAGGCTTTTTACTGAATTTTTTTGTTAATTCAAATTATCTCTAGGCTCATCCCATGGATAAAAGTGTTTTCCATTTCATTTTTGTCCTAAGGCTTTCTTTTGTTTTTATTATCTGAAATGCTTTTTTATATAAAAATGATTTGTACAATGTGTATTTTAAGAGCTTTGTCATCATTGTTTTTTAATACTTAACCATATTGTAAGCTCCTTGTGGGCAGGACCCATGCTTTGTATATATCTTGTACCTGTAGAGTCCAGCACAGTGCTAAGCACATAGAAAGTGCTCAATAAAAACTTGATGGAAAGTGCAAGTGACCTGACTGCAGTCTTCGTGAGTGCTGTGTAAGACGACGAGGCGGATACACTATAAGTAAGGGTCAAGAGTTGGTTTTCTATTTATTTCTCCTCTTTGATGTTGTGCCATTTTGGTCAGCCTTTAAATTTGAGCATATAAGAGAGTCTTCTTAGACTTCTTGAAGAAAACAACTGTAAATATTTGTTGATTATGGGATGATTGCTCTTAGAAAAAAAATAAAAG